ACACGCGTCCCATAGCAAAAACCTCTCCCTCCCAAAATAATAATAATAATAATAATAATAATAATAAAAATAAAGTGTCCTGAACTCCATCTTGACCACTGGAGTAGACTCTGATGGTGGCATGTAAGACTGAGATTCTTGAGCTTCTTGACCGGCCTTGGGTAATATGTGGTCTGGACCAAGCCCCTCATCACTTAGGTGTAGTTGCTGAGACTCACACCGGTGAAGCGACTTGCACACATTTCCATGGGGAGTTTCCTGGCTCCTGATTGCAGGCTTCTGACTGCTGTTCTTGATCCTGCTTCTCTCTGCTACCAGGAGCTCTATACCTGGAATAAATACCACGTCCACGGGGAATTTTCAAATGTGCATTTGAAATTTTGCACACAACCTAAAATTTGCTTTTCTTGATCCTTTCTGAACCTGAAATATTTTTTCTATCCCCTTAAATGTGTCCCCACCTTGTTTTGCTATGAAAAACCAAAGGAAACACTTTTTTTTTGTTGTTTTTTTTTGCTTTCTAGGACAACTACTTTCAAACAGAAGTAAAATATTGGGTCGTCAGAAAAGTCATAACACATTTTTGCATAGAAAAACATAGAAAAAATGCGGCATGACTTTTCCAGAGATCCGATAATTATAAGACTTATTCGACATTTTCCTTTTGCAAATAAACTAAGGTCTGAAGAGGGTAAATTATAACCTAACTGGTGATTGTCTCCTCTCCAAGTTGGGTTGGGTTTCCTGATCTTCAATTCACTGTTCTTTCCACTGTTCCTCTTTCAAGGTTGTTATTTTTGTGTGAATGTAGTCCTGACTGCACAGTTTTCAAGTTCATACACACTTCCCTTGCTGCTAACTCAGATATGTATAGAAAACTTGAACCCACTCTCGTAACCAGACTAAGCAAGTCCTAGTGATACCACGAAGAATAGAAACACGCCCGGGTGAGGTTTCAAATAGCACTGGTATAGAGAGTTATTTTTGACTCTTCGGGGATTTGTTTATTCAACAAATATTTATTGAGCACCTTTTATGTGCTAAGCCCTACTTTGGATATGAGATACAATGGTGAAAACAGAAAACAAACAAACAAACAAACAAATCCTACTTTCCACAGAAGGGGCTGGAGTGGGGGGCTTGGAACTAGTCTGCACTATTCAGAAGGTGGCCCGGGAGGATCCCATGGAAGGAGGAAGGAAGTGAGTCGTGTGGGTTTCCAGACACCCGGACATAGAAAGAGGGTATGTGACAGAGTGCACGGGAGGGAGGGTAATAGGGGATTAGTAATAGAACTTTGTAGGCCAACCTCAGGACTTGGGTTTGACTTTGAGTTAAGTGAGAAGCCTCAGAAAGGTCTTAGGCAGAAAAGTGACGCTCCGCAGTGTCCCTGAAGAGAGCGAGGCAGGCTAGGCAGGCAGGCGGGAGGCCGGCCAGGGGGCTGTCAAAGTGGTCTAGACACAGGATCCTGGTCGGTTAGACCCGTGCAGTGATGGTCAGGTGCTGGGTGCATTTTGACTTTGAGGTTGGGGAGTTTATTTGGATCAGAGCCATCCATTAGTAAGAGAGGGAGGGGCAGGGGCAAGGATAACTTGAGTTTTGGGCCTGAGCTACTAGTAGAATAGAGTTAGGTTTCTGTTACTTACCTAATGACAGATGTTGAGTAAGCAGTTTTTATATGCAAGTCTGAAGTCCAGGGAAGCCATCCAGGCCAGAGAGCACAGAGCTGTCTGTGTGGCCCAGACCTTTGTTGGAATCACCTAAGAGACGTGATTTTCCACCATTAGACTCTCGAGTATGTGTGGTCAGTGCAAACATTTCATTTACTGCCAATTTTTGTCAGTGATACTGCTTTTCAGTGAAACACCAGAAAATAACATCTACTGAATGCATATGTAATTTACATGAAGACATAATTTTGACTCTTGTTGAATATTCTTTGTAACAAATCCAAAATATTGTTTAGAACACTGTTTAGAGTCTCAGAAACATTTTGCTATAAAGGCATGAGTTTGTTTTTTTTAACATCGTTTTTTTTTTTTTTTTTTTTTTTTTTTTTTTTTTGAGAGCTTTTTTCTATAGGGTGCATGTGCTCACCAGAAGACAGACAGACAGAGAGATAGAAAGCGAGAAATAACCCCCCAGGGGGGACGGCCACGCTGCAATCCCTTCTCCTCTGGGGATCTTGGGCACGCACGCACACGCACCAGCATGAGTTTAAGCCACTGTGTCCAGGACTCAAACCACGGTCGACTATATGGGAGTTCAGTGACATAGCCACTACTCTAACTGCTGGTCCCTAGGCATGAGTTTTGTCACAGATTTTTGTCCTAAATATATAGAATTTCTGACATAGTTTTAGACATTTACCTAAGATCTGAATTAGTTATCTTTTTTTATGGCTGCTTTTTTTTTCATGCTATGCCCTGTCCTCTAGAAACTTCAATAAACACATAGAAGGATTTTTCACTCTGTTTTGACTATAGAAATTTACACAGGCTATGTATATGTAAATTTACATGGGATAGGGTATCTACATTTTATATAAAATTGAACTGTAAACCACTTCAAAAAATATATATATAGCCTTTTTTGTTTGCTTGTTTTGTTTTGTTATAGGGCTCAGTACTCTTAAGAGAGGGAAAGAGAGAAATCACCCCCCAGGAGCATGGCCACACCACAGTCCCTTCTCCCCTATTCTCCTCTCAGGATTTTGGGCACGCGTACACACATACCCGGCGTAGTTTCCAAGCCTCCAGGGCTGTGCACTCAGTCATGTGGGATCCAACTGCTTGAACCACCACAGTACCAGGCTGTCCCCCCAAATACTTTTAACGCAGACATATGTGCAGAGGAGATTAAGAAGCTTATACTTACATGATTCTACTATTAAATGCCTCAATTAATGTTGCATTTTATCGAGTCACCATAGTTACCCACCACCCAAGTGGGCATGTCCTTGTGCAAGTGTCCATGAACCCTTCATGATCTAGGGCAGAAGGACAGCGTGTTAGAAAACCCACCTCAGGCCCATGATGGATATAAATCAATACGTTCGCGATTTTATACTGCCGTTAATCGGGGGCCAAGGAGGAGTGGAGACGGATCAGTGTGTTAGAAAACCCACCTCAGGCCCATGATGGGTATACATCAATACGTTTACGATTTTATGCTGCCGTTACTCGGGGGTCAGCGAGGAGTGGAGACGGATCAGTGTGTTAGTTTTGTCAAAGAGGTAAGTTTTGAACCAGTGTTTTAAGTTAGATGAAGGAAACCAAACAAACTTCAAATTAAGTGGCTTTTAATTGATCCGGTGTGTGTATACACATGTATGTAAATATTTTAAGTTTCTGTGTATAGATCCTCACCCTAACCAGACAGGTGCAAGATGAATCTCAAGGACAATGATGTTGGGAGGTGTGTGTGTGTGTAGAAGTAAAAGAAAAGATAGGACTTACTGGAGCCCGTGTTTCCTTAGACTCAGTGATAGAATGTACTATCAAATAGTTAAATGCTATAGGGAATTTAATCTATACCTTAGGGTAGGAAAGAGATAAAATTCATTATTGACGTTAAAGGGGTTCTTTTTAAAAGGTTTTTCAAAGTATTCCGAACCACCATGCTACCAGACTTCCTGTATCCATAATCTCTCAGTTTTCAATTACTGTATATTTTACATGTTATAAAATCCAAGATTCTCTGTTTGAACAAGAAATAGAATGTCACCATCCAGATTTTTCTAGCTCCAAAGCTTACCTGTTATTCTCTCTCCACCTGTTCCCAAAATGGAAATAATAATCCACAAAATTACATATATCCGCATAGCTTTATAGACATGCAGTCCCACTCACAAATGTCCTTTCTCTTCAGATTATGAAGTTACATAAGTATTTTGCATGGTCATTGTGAAATTCTAACATTTAAGTATTGCACGTAGCTTTTTAATTTTTCCTTTTAGGAATCATGGCTTTTCTGTGCAGGTGTTTATCAGTACAAAAAAATATTTAAAAACTAACCTAGTGTCACTTGAAGGAACCCTTTTTGTTTTAATATAAATTTGTTTTTATTTTCTCATAGCATAGCACTTTATTTTTTATCTTCTTTTGGTCTTTGTTGATATATGTGTATTTTTTAAAAATTTGATGGAGGGCATATGCACTCATTGGAGAGAGGGAGAGGGAGGGAAGGCACCTACCATGGGGGCTGGCTGCAGTCTCTTCTCCATTCTCCTTTTGGGATTTTGGACATGCATGTACATGTGCCCAACATGTTTTTCAAGCTGCTGTATCCAGGGCTCAAACCACTCATTCGGACATGTGGGAGTTCCACCAACTTAACCACCATGCCACAGGCTGGACTGGTTTTTTGTTGTTGTTGTTTTCTTTTTCCCAAGTTCTGATTTTACTGCGAGTTAACCATTTCTATTGTTTGCTGTGTTCGTATCGCAAATTATTTTTACATAACATATTCAAAGCCCTTTTTATTTGTGGAAGATCCCTTTCAATGTGCAGTAATCCACTTACTGGTTTTTTTCTAAATGATGCTGCTAATCACCTAACTTTCAGATGAGGGCTTTGTTAAAATCATCAATTATTATGGTTCCTACTGGAAAGTGTGTACAGAAAGAAAAAAATATTAAGTCAAAATCCCCTATTTCCTTAGTAACCCAAATTGATGTTTCTGGAATAAAATTTGGTTTCTCAACCAGTATCTCGGTGGTAGATGAACATGTAACTATTATAATAATGTAATTCTAAAATGTTTTTCTGTGAAAATCATGACTTTCAATGCATCTACAAAAGAAAGCCAGTGAAGTACCCTGGTGAGACTAAATGACTGTCACTTCAGTGCCTTCTGGAGAAATGTCACCGGAGCAGCCACTTTTTCTACAGTCTACCTTGTTCAAACATGGTTGTGTGTGGTTGTGGGATTTCCTCTGTGAGTTTACCAGTTGAGACATCTGTTGTAATCATTAAAAATTGCTAATTCCTCTTCGCTAGAGCTGGAGTGGACCAGAGAAATTGCTTGCTTTAGATGAACTCATTGATAGCTGTGAGCCCACCCAAGTAAAACATATGATGCAAGTGATAGAGCCCCAGTTTCAACGAGACTTCATTTCCTTGCTCCCTAAAGAGGTAAGGATTATCAGTTATATTCTTCGTCATGCGCGGTTATGTAACGTAACAGCGACCCCCTTTAAACAGTGTCATGCTAATGATGGTACTCAGTACTGCCAGTTTGACACTCCGAGTTAGTGGCAGGGAAGACTGAGTTGTTAAGCCACCATGACTTCACAGTGTCATTGTCAGATTAAACTATGTTCATGGACCGGGCAACTTCTTTTCACTGCGAGAATAAGTCATCTATATGAGAGGAACTATTGTGCTTCATTAGTTTGATGATTTCTTTACCAAGATTTTCTCCCCAGGTTACTTGAAGCCCACCCTGTAATTACCTTGAGGTTGGCTGGGGGGAGGGTCATTTTAAAATTTGGATTTTATTAAACTCCCATTTTGTTGCTTATCCTGAATCTCTTTGAGACTAGTAGTTTTATGATGCTGTCAGATTGTAGTTCTCCAACTACTTACATTGCGTAGTTATTTACAAATACATAGCATTTCATAGTGACATCCTTTTTCCTTTAATCATCTTCCTCCCCACTCTGTTAGACACACACCTGTGTGCCATGCACGTGCGCCCAGATTTCTCATACTGACTGTATTCCCACAGCATTTTTGGGGGTTTTTCCTTTAATCATCTTCCTCCCCACTCTGTTAGACACACACCTGTGTGCCATGCACGTGCGCCCAGACAGATTTCTCATACTGACTATATTCCCACAGCACTTTTGGGGGGAACTCTTTTGCCCATTTCTTTTTATGTTTTTATGAAAATAGAAAATATTTTTTTCATAGCTTGGTTTTGACCATATACACATTCTCGACTGTATAAATAGGTACAGTTTATTTATTGATATTCTGGACTCGATAGTCATCTTGGTCAGCAAATGGAAATAATGGTATATTGGATAGTCACTGCTGCCAGGATTATATTTTTGTACATGTTTATGTACATGCCACTAATGGTATGTCAGCTAAAAAGACAACACAAAATACTAACATGCCATTCCAGATCTTTCTGACACATCACGTCTGAGCACGGAAGGCCTCAGCGTTTTCAGATAGCTATTCTAAATATCCTAATGGCCTTCCAGAGAGTCCAAATTATAATTTCACATTAGATACGAATAAAGTAGTTTTATTATATATAATGTATGAAACTTAAGAATAACCCTAGGGAAAAGCAAAGTGGAGAAAACATCTTATTCCTGGAAGATTCTTTTTCTGGAGTGCTTTTTAAAAGTGACATTGTCTCAGAAAAAAAATGTTATTCTTTCTAGCTTTTTCTAAAACTGAATCCTTTTCATAGATTTGGCTTGGAAAAGTGACATAAGCTCTCTTTGCTTCTAGAAGGGAATTAATAATAGGAAACACATCCATAAGTAATTGACTGAAATACTAGTATTTACCTTTGATATATTTTTCATTATTTCCCTTGGTATCCCCCTTATTTTAGCAGGTAGATTTTTGTTCAAATGGAGACTTTCTCATAGTCTAGTTTGTCCTCTTATCTCAAGAATGGTTTTTGGTTTGGGCCAAATGCATAGCCTAGTGATGGAGGGAGCCAGATCCCATATGGCTGACCACTGTTCGAATCCCAGCCCTGGCAGCTTGAAAAACATACTGTGTCCGTGTGCGTGCATGCCCCAGTTCCTGACAGGATGGGAAGATGGAGCAGAAGGGACTATGGCACCTCCACGCCCCATAGGGGTGTACTTTCTCCCTCCTTCCCTATCCTTGTCTCTTTCTTCTTGGCAGGAGAACATGCTCTCTATCAAATTAAAAATAAAATAAATAAATAAAATGAAAAATAAACACAACTTTGACAAAAATCTGACTAATCTCACATGGGAGGCTTGTGATAAATAGCATTATCCTTATTTTGTAAATCAATACAAGAAAATTGTAGAGAGATAATAGATGATGTAGAACAAAAGCCGAAATTCTTAATATAGGATTAACCAACATTTTCTTTTTTTCTTTTTCCCTTGATTAGTCTAATCCACAGGAATATAGCAATTCTAAGGAAAATAATGGCTACCCTTTACATACAGTACGGTTGGATTTTTATATAGGTTACAGAGAAAAATAGAACATAGCAACTCACACTGAAATTACAAATTTCAGCAAGGAAAAGTAATTATCTGAAATAGATTTTCAATTTAAGAGCTTTTGTCTGGCAGAAGTGGTTTTTAGGGAGAATTACTGATCTAGATTTTACCTTTAAACCAAGTAAATAGAAGGGACCATTCGACTTGACTACAAGAAACGTGTAACCCCCTCTACGGCTGTTGTCGGGACATGGTGTGGGACAGCGCCTCCTCCGTGTCCCCTGAGGGGTCTGTCGTAGTCACTTCCCCCTGCTATAGCAAAGGTCCATAGAGTGCGGCTTACGAACAACAGAGGCATAGTCCTGGAAGCCCGGGAGTCCGAAATCAGGCTGCCAGTGTGGCCCGGTTCTTGTAGGACTTCTGCCGGGCCATCAACTTCCATCTTCTTGTTCGTGGTATGGCAGAGGGATGTAAGTTGCCCAGGGTCCCTTTCATAAGGGCAGTCCCATGTACGCAGCTCCACCCTCAGGGCCTAATTACCTTTAAGAAGCCCCACTGCCTGGCACCCTCCCTCTGGGAGTTGGGATTTCAGGCAAGGAATTCGAGGAAAGCCAAACAGCCCCCTTCGGTACCCTACCTGACAAAACCTTGATTCTTTTGCGGAATGAGTACACTTTCTCATAACACTTGGAAAGAATTATGTAACTAATTCAGTTCCCTTTTTGCTTGGCAGTTTAATTCAAAACCCATGTAAGACATTGTTGCCAACATATTTATGGTCTACTTTTACCTTGGTTTAACCTTCTTTGCAGATTTATATTTTTTTCTGGTTCCAGTTTTTTTACTCAGATTTTTCTATTTTGCTTTGGGGGGGGTTGTTGCTTTTTTTTCTGTATTACCTGACTATTTTCATGAAACTCAGTGCAAATATACAAACATTTTCATTTTATAAGCGGAAGTTCATGGTCTAGTGACGGCCTTGCTTCTTGAACTTAACACAGTTGGCTGTGGAGTTCGCGCTTCCGCTTTCTTTAGCGATGAGCCTTTCTTGCATTTCTCTTTAATGTATTCAGACCCTTGCCCAGATGTGCTCGTCTTTTAAAAAGTTGATTCATTTTTTTCCCATGAGAGAGAGAGAAACAGACTCTCCACAGGGGACCCACCTGCAGTCCACTCACAGCCCTAACCAGCGTGGATCACGGACACAGGCAAGCCCAGCTTGTCAAGGGAACCCCTGGGACATGATCCCTGGACCCTTCCATGTGGCTGTAGCTCTGTTAATGCTGCTCCACACTCTGGGCCCCTGGTACTGTCTTTTTTTTAAAAAAGAGATTTTTGCTACAGGATGGGTTTGCTCATCGAAGAGACAGAGAGAAAGCGAGAAATCATTCCCCGGGGGGATGGCCACATGGCAGTCTCTTCCCCTCCATTCTCCTCTCAGGCTTTTGGGCATGCACGCCCACGTGCCTGGTGTGAGTTTTAAGCTGACAGGTCTGGGACTTGAAATACCATCAACTGTGTGGGAGTCCAGCATCGTAATCATTATGCCATCTGCTGGTCCCACCCCCGGTGCTGTCTTGATCACTGTTCATGAAGAGAATTTTGCCTGTCCTTTTGGGGGTGTCCCTTTGAAATCTAAGCTGCCCTGGATTTGTTTTTAGCCTGTAAGATTCATCGAGTGCTTCTTTAATAGATTACCTGCTTTCTACTTTGTCAGAGGACCAGGGCAAAGCAAAGAACAGGCTTTCTGGTGTGGCCATTCTAAATACCTGGGGCATTTATTAGCAGCTCTTTAGTGCAAATCTCTCTGTGCCTAATAACGTCTATGTTAAATTACACTTCCACATAGAGTAATAATATGGTGACACCATGTTACCGTTGTATTGACCCTAAGCAAACTTACCTAGGCTTCCATCGGTAATTTCAGAACTAACTGGCTAATGGAGTTTCCTCTTAAAAATGGTAGCATTGAATGGGCCGATGGCGTTGCAGTGGCCAAACGTGGAGTTCTGTGAGGCAGACCCTGGGGGAGGATCACTGTTTGAGTCTGGAGACTTCCCTGAGTATACTGGGCACCCGCATGCCCGTGACTCGGGCCAGCGGAGGCTGGGGAGTCATGGCATCAGGCCCTTGTCAGGGATGCTGTATTTCTCCTGTTCATGTAAAAATAAAAAGTAAGAAACTTTCAAAGAACTCTTAAAAAAAGTATAATGTTGAGATGTATGTGTAGGTATGTAGACAGTATGCACACGTACGGATCATACACTGTTGGCTGTAGCTCTGCCTTTGTATCCCGTCTCCGCTTCTGTACAGAATACTGAATGGTCTCCAGTAGTCCACGCACAGTCACTGCACGAAGCGTCTCTCACGACCATTCACTAGTGCTCGTATAAACTGCTGACTGGCTTGTTGGAGGACTGTGTGTATATTTTGCATCCAAATACGTGGCTAGTAATGAACTCGAGGTCTGCAGAGTCATTGGGAAATGTAATTTATATCATAATTCCTGTTTAGCATCAAAAAAACAATGCAGACTTTGCTTTTGCTCCCCGTATGACCTTTGGCCCTTTACATAATGTTTGTTTTAATCCTTGTCTCTTAATTTGTACGAAAACTAAACTTGATTGCTCTGTTTAGATACCTTTTTGCCCTAATATCATAATTTAAATTTGTATGTGAATGTGAGGCTTCTTGAATAAGCATAGTCAGGGGCTATCGTCCCCCTTCTTCTCTTTCCTTTTCCTTTAATTATTTCACTTGACTTTACACAATTAGAAAGATAGAAAGAAAGAAAGAAAGAAAGAAAGAAAGAAAGAAAGAAAGAAAGAAAGAAAGAAAGACAGACAGACGATGCTATGGAAGTATTGTAAACAACATTTTAGAATCAGTGATATGCTTTATAAAGACCCAACTCAAATACACAACTATGTGATCCATGGAGAAAAGCCCCAGAAGCAATGTAAAGTAATTAGATCCCAATTACTTTTATTTGTCTTTGGAATGGCTTAATAATCATCCCCTTTCGTCATTAACAGTCCAGGGCGAAACTGTTTCAAAAGTTCATCACTGGGAGAATCAACACTTTGATGTGAAGAACTATTAATTAGGGTATCTAGCCATCAGAAGCGATCCGAAATCATACCGCACAGAAGCCGGCCACATCTCAGTTCTCATCTGTCAGGCTGCCGGGCAAGCATCCGGTCCTCTCTAGTAAATTCATACTGTCGTAGGGGAGAGGAGACCAGTGGAGACAGTAAAGGAAAACGTGGAACAAACTAGGTTTACTGAGTCGGGGCTCCCTGAGCAGGTGCAGGAGCAGAGACTGGTTTAGGAGTGCCCTTGAAGAGGCGGGGTTAGAGTGAAGTTCATCAAAAGTTACAGGGCGTTGGTTTTGAATCTGGTATGTTTGCAAAGACTGAAGATGCTGCCTTTCTTAATTTTGGGAATTCTAAAGTAGAATTACCTATAAGTATTGCATCCTGTGGGGAATAATTAGCTTATTATTCATTTCTATCTGTTTAAAAATACGCCTGTCCCATGCCTTCCTTTTTCTAGCTGGCACTTTATGTGCTCTCGTTCCTGGAACCCAAAGACCTGCTTCAAGCAGCTCAGACATGTCGCTACTGGAGGATTTTGGCTGAAGACAACCTTCTCTGGAGAGAGAAATGCAAAGAAGAGGGTAAGGTTCGAGCCGGCATAGAGGATATGTTTATACATTAAAAAGGCAAAGCGATTCTGAAAACAAGTATTGATAGAAAAAATCCGTTTTAAGTGCAGGTAGAATAAAGTGGCGGTAGATGAGAAAGGAGGACGTCAACAGCCTCTCCGTGAATGGGTCTTCGTTTACATTCATGTCTTGTACTTACGAGAAACTTTGCAGGTTATCCTGCACATTCAGGACAGCTAAGTCTTGCAGCTAGCTCCTTTAACAAGCACTATTAACTAATGGTAGACATTTTTATTTGCTTCCGAGTTATTAGTAGAATGAATAAACAAGGAAAAAGTTAAGATGAGGATAATTTAAAGGCAATCTCCAAATTATATTACCAGTTAAATACTCAAATATTCAGTATTTTATTTATTCCTTCCATGAGTACTTATTGAACACCTCCTATGAGCCGGCTCTGATTGGGAAAAGTCACGACACACTTTTGCAAAGCAAGTACATCCTGACTTGGTGACGACCCAGTGGATAGTGGTGGTCTGTCAGTTTGTTCCTGTCTTGGAGCCAACATTTTTGAAACCCCCCCCCCCCTTTTTTTTTTTTTTAATAATCTTTTTACTTAGTAGAGGAGTTGGTATCATTTATATTAATTAAAGGCAGGGATTTTCTTTTCCTCCTCAAACATCCAGAAATATCTTTGAAAAGATACATAAAAATGTTATTTACTCCAGAGAAGCACATTTTTGTTTTCATTTGCCAGAGAGCACATGGGCTCAACAGAGACAGACAGAGGGAGGGCAAAATCACTCCACGGCCCTGCTACAACCCTTTCCCCTCCATTGCCCTATCCCACCAGGATTTGGGTACACACATAAGTACCCAGGATGTTTTTCAGGCGGTCGGGGCCAGGATTCAAACCGTAGGTGGCCCTGTGAGTCCTGGCTCTCTTAATGACGGTGCTTCAAGGCAGTCTGAAAAGCAACATTTTTGAGGGGATCACACAGCATGATCAGGGTTCTCCCTAGGCGATCCTCTTCATACACTTAGTGCGGGGGAGCCATTTTGGTTAATCCAGGTTAGTAATGCTTTGAGGTGAGACCCAGGATACTTCGTTTCTAATCCTGCTTCTGCCCTGACTGGGGTTAGGATTAATCAGTGAAACCTTTTAAGTCTTAAGTACCTGTATACATAAAGGGGGATCAACCAGCCTTGCCTTACCTCCTTTCCTGGAATCATTTCTCCATGACTTTTCTGACATTGCGGGCAGCATATACGTAACATGAAATGTATCCTGTGAACGTTATTTCGTGTTCAGTTCAGCGGCACTGAGTACGTTCACATTGCTGTGGAAGCACCATCCTCATCCCCAGAACGTCTTCGCTTGCCCAGCTGAAACTCCACAGCCGTTAAGCATGAGCTCCCATTCCTCCTCCCTCCCGTCCCCAGCAACCGCCCTTCCACTTTCAGTCCACGCATTTGACCGCTCTAGGTGCCTCTTACAGGTGGACTTACACGATATTTGTCCTTTTGTAGTCGACTTACTTCACTTAGCATACTGTCCATATCATAGCATGTATCAGATGTTCTTTTTTAATGCTGAACAATATTCCATTGTGAACATATACACATTTTGTTTATCCATCCATCCATCATTGGACGCTTGATTGCTTCTCTCCGGCAATTCCGAATAATGCTGCCGTGAGCATGAGTGTACGGATATCTGTTTGAGTTTTTGCTTTTCATTCTTTTGGGTATTTTCCAGAAGTGGAATTGTTGGGTTATATGTTAATTCTGTGTTTGATTTTCTTTTTTTTGAAGAACTCCACTTTTCTCACAGCATCCATATGTTAATTCTGTGTTTGATTTTCTTTTTTTGAAGAACTGCTCCACTATTTTCACAGCATCCGCACCATTTTCCATTCATACGAGCAGTGCACGAGCATTCCCATTTCTGCATATCCCATGATATCCTGTAGAATCATTTTGAGAAAGAAATGGCACAGTGAATACAAAGCCACGAATACCAAACCATGTCCTGGGTTATTGTCGCATACCGCGGTAACTGTATTGGAGGTTGGACCATCCAGCATTTCGGTGGTTTTGCACATGGAGGGAATGAGATATATTATAAGGTGGAGTTTTTATTATTGGCACAGGCAGTTATACTCTTGAACTGTTTAACACTTTAGGGATCGATGAGCCATTACACATCAAGAGAAGAAAAGTAATAAAACCGGGTTTCATACACAGTCCGTGGAAAAGTGCATACATCCGACAACACAGGATTGATACGAACTGGAGGCGAGGAGAACTCAAGTCTCCTAAGGTAACTGAGCTCTGGCGTGGTGTAACAGAAACCATTAATCAGTGTTACACCCGGCGTACTGCTTCACCTCTTGGCAACCAGGATAACTTGACACTTATCTTCTGTGGAAAGAAAATATATTTTAATATAACTGAAAGTATAACTGACAATATTCCTTTATTGCTAATTTCTCTAACCTGACAACTAATTATACTTGCATAAAAGATGAGTTGAGTTGAATGGAATATCTATCTTATGTAAATTAAAATCTCTGAATATTGTTTCTAATGTTTATTGGACCTAAGAATTGGCCACCTCCTCTGACCATAGAGTCCAAAATGATTTTTTTTTTCTATAGGGCACGTGTACTTGCCAGAGAGACAGGAAGTGAGAAATCACTTCCCAGGGGGATGGCCACTCTGCAATCCCTTCTACTCCATTCTCTTCTCTGGATTTTGGGCACACACACACACGCCTGGTGTGAGTTTTAAGCCACCAGGTCTGGGACTCGAACTATGGTTAATTATGTGATAGTCCAGAGATGTAACTATTACTCCATCTTCTGGTCCCCAAACATGATTTTTTGAGGAGTATTCATGTTTTACTTTTTGGGGGTGCTTCTGTATGTTTTATTCATACACATTGAAGCATAATTCTGATTTTCTGTCTTAGTATATTTCAAATATTTAAAGAATGGTAAAAATGCCTGAAACTTTTAGACGTGTTTTTACAACTGGGAAAAAACAATTTGGGAGACACTGTCATATCAGTGTATATGCAGTATGACTTTTTTGTTGTTGTTTTAATTTGGAAAAGCTGACCATTGCTACTTTTAGTTAATAGATACTTGCTTTTCTTGTGCAAAAGTACAAACATTAGGTGCATAATTCTTTTGGCTTAAGCAAAGAAAGTAGATTATTATAAAATATTTATATATGAGCCATCTTTATGAGGTCTTGACTCAGTAAAATTTTAGTAGTTGATGTTTCAAGTTAAATAAGACAGTATGGAAACCTTAAAATGTTTAATTCTTGATTCATCGACCAGGAAGGATGACACTTTGCATTTTATATACCTCCTAAAAAGAAATAGATTCCTATTCCTGTTTACGGCTTCATTTTTCCTCAACAATATTTTATTTTTTAGATTTTTGCTGTAGGGTACATGTGCCCACCAGAAACAGACTGAGAGGGAACGTGAGAAATCACCCCCTGGGGATGGCCATCTTGCAGTTTCTACTCTTTTGTCCTCTTGGGATTTGGGGCACGCACACATACCCAGTACGATTTTCAAGCCACCGGAACTGAAACTGGAACCACAGAGTCAGCCATGTGGGATCCAGCTACTTAACCATATGCCACTCGCTGGATCTGCACAGCAGTATTTTAAAGAACGTAATAATTTCAGAACATATGTCCAGTTTGCATGTTCGCCTTACAGGTGCTGAAAGGACACGATGACCATGTGATCACATGCTTACAGTTCTGTGGTAACCGGATAGTCAGCGGCTCTGATGACAACACTCTGAAGGTCTGGTCGGCAGTCACAGGCAAAGTAAGTCGGCTTCCTGTGTGTCCTAGGTCACCACTGCGGGTATACATTTGGAAGGGTGAACTAGTTCAAGGAGCCAGGCATTCGTTTTTGAGCTCCAGTTGTTTACATCGCAAATAAAAGAGCGTCTAACGTGGGCATTCCCTATATTTATGAACATCACCTTGGCATGACAGCAGTAATCCTCCTCATGATAGGGATGACTTGCCTCTGTTTTTCATTTAGACAGCATGTCCGTCTTTGTGGCTAAGATCCGTTTAAAGATTTGTCGGGAATGAAAATCTTTTTCTTAGCTCATTTTCCCCTGCCTTTATTTACCATTTAGCTTTTATACCTTATTACTTTTGAATATTTGTCAGAAGGATAATTGAGGGATATTTACTTTTCCTTATGATGAGCTTCTTTGAGCTTAGAAGTTAAGCCTTGCCAATTTGGACCTCCCTCAAACCCTGTGAGATCGAAGTTAAGCAGAGCAGGTATTTAAACATGGGTTCGAAGGGAAAGAAAATACTTCAAGAAATCAGCTTGACTGAATACAATATTATACCTTGGTGATTCTCTAGGTAATATTTCTATGTATCCAATGGAGAATATTTTTAAAAATTAAGTAATTGACTATTTGAAAAATAGAAGACAGTGTGGAAAAAAAAATCAATGTCTTTTACCAAAATGTTGCTTCTTGGACAAGAATCTTTAAAATATTCCCAGTCAGATGTTAAAAAAATTTAAAGCAGCTTCATACTTCCATGGTGTAATAATTAGCTTTGGATTTGTTTCAGGTTTTAATGTCTGTCTTTACTTGTCTTGGAGTAGCTTAGCTGGCTCTTAACTAATGCCGTGGGGCAGATTCAGATGAAATACGGTATGTGGCCACGCCCGGCGCCGTTGGTGTTTTTTCACTGAATGGGTTCCCATGGAAGAAACCAATTGCAGTTTTAGTACGATTTCATCAGAGAGGCCAGGCTAGAGCTGTCATACTTCCATGCCACATGTCTGTTTTCTGCATACTTGCTCCTCGAACACGTGTGCTCATTCTCCGTATGGAACACTCCTAAAGAAACAGAGCAGTGAACGGTGATGGCGTGTGCAAAAACATCTCGCTGAAGCGCCAGTCGAATTAAACAGATAACTTTATCCCGTGTTTTAACAAGCTGTTAAAAATGTTATTTAAATCGCTTTCTTTTCTACCCAGAAAGTAATCATCTTAAGTGTTTTTCCAGTGTTTGAGAACGCTAGTGGGACATACAGGTGGCGTGTGGTCATCGCAGATGAGAGACAATATCATCATTAGTGGGTCCACAGATCGGACTCTCAAAGTGTGGAACGCAGAGACCGGGGAATGTATACACACCCTGTACGGACACACCTCCACTGTGCGTTGTATGCATCTCCACGAGAAGAGGTGAGGGAAAATCCATGGTGGATGGGACTTCTTGCTCTGTGAACTGCGACTGCGAGGCCTCTCTCTGGGATGGTGGTAATATGTTCTCAAAGTAGACTTTCATTTTTTTATACTTCAGATGAAGCCGCACTGCATTGGCTTGAAATGGGGGCAGATGAAGCCGCACTGCATTGGCTTGAAATGTAGGTTATCTTCAAATTTTTTCCTCATTTTCATAGTATTTTGAGCTTCCTCCTTGAAATTCTTTCTTTCGTAATCCTTTCCTTATTCTATGTGCCTGATCACTCATCATCTTTGAACAAAAGTCATTTTTCCTCTTTTCTTTTGATACTTGTATTTGTACAAGTGGGAAAATTTCAGGCTTCCAACCTCCAGGTCTTCGTAATTACCTACTCACCTGACCCTGACTCTAGCACATCCCCGCAATCTGAGCGAAAGCTGAGGCCTGCGGAATTGCTCTCATTCTCGTTAGTGATCATCTGACTGCTGCCATCACTCTCCGACTTGACCTCTCACCATGCGTACAGCTCACTGGGAACTCTCATGGCCGTGCCACTGCCCTGTTCTCAAGGCTTCGGGAGCTTGCAGTTGCCTATGCAGTTAAGGAAGGGATCCTTCATCCAGTTTTCAAAATTCTTTCAGCCCAAACAGACTGCTTGCCTTTTCTTTCATTGTCATTGCTGTTGCTTTTATTCCCTTCTGCAAAACCCCTGCTACGAAGATCTTTTCTGTCTTTCTGTTGCCACAGATCCCCATTAAACAAATGTGATTTCTCCCTCATTTGTCAAAAAAAGTCTCTCCGAAGGGTCCTTATAGTGAATTTACTCTAGTCTTTACCTTTAATTCTGCCTGTATCTTTTTTATTAAGGAGCCATTACATTGAGCAGATTTCACACTAGACTTATGCTATGTGAAGAAGAGTACCTTTTCATTTCTAATTCGAATCTATTTTGAACAGTACAGTGCACTGTTAACATTTGGGGAATGAAGATCAAGAGACTTTGTATTTCAGTTTTATTATATTCCGACTTAAGTCTCTCAAGGCTTCAATTTTCAGTTTTGGGTTTTTTTTTTCCAAATATGAACACTGTGGCATTTCTTTGTCTCAAAGGAATGGCATAGAGCACTTGAGTGTCCAGCTTCGTTTTGTAATCCAGAGGGGGTGACATATTTGTAAATTATTGTTGGGCCAAACTTTGAAAGATTTCCATTCCTCCTGTAGGTGTCCCTCTTAAAATCTGTATATTTTAATATCCCCATATCCTATTAAATATGTATAAATGTAAACATTATATGCTTGTGCAACCTTTGTTTGAAGACATGTCTAAAGCTGGTTAATTTTATCAGAATATATAATATAATGCACATATAGGGAGCTGTTTAAATTCCAGATTCTGATTTGTTTTATTGAATAATCTATATTGGGTTTTTTACCTAATCACAAAGGGTGCATGGGTTCATAATTAGAATTTTGGAAATGTCACCATTGAAGTTTTGGGAAATGACAAAGCACATGAAGAAATGTTAAGTTACTCAAAGTCCTCCACCTAGAATTCCTCTGCTAACATCTTATGCATATGCTCACGTTATCATTTATTTTATTAAGATCTCACTGCATCTATTTAGAACCTGTGTCCTTTATGTATGAGTACAATACGGTGGTTTTCAAACTTGGCTGCACAGAAACCGGAGGTGCTAGAACCCAGATCCCTGAAGTGGGGAACCAGGCAGGCAGCTTTCGAAGGGTCCTCACTTCCCATCTGACCTGAAAAACTCAGTTCCGTATGTTTGTATATTGAGGTGTTGACGGAGGACTTCTTTTTTTTGGGGGGGTAGGAGGTTTTTGCTATAGGGCGCGTGTGCTCACCAAACAGACAGAGAGAGACAGAAAGTGAGAAATCACCCCCCGGGGGGATGGCCACACCACAATCCCTTCTCCTCCATCCTCCTCTCGGGATCTTGGGCACACACACACATGCGCCTGGCGTGAGTTTTAAGCTACTGGGTCTGGGACGCGAACTGTGGTCGACCCCATGGGAGTCCAGCGACATAGCCATTACGCTAACTGCTGGTCCCATTGACGTAGGACTTCTTTTGAAAACAGGTGTTTCTGATTAAAAACAAAAATTACAACCACTGACTTCATCTATCATATTTGCTCATGTTATTAACGATTCTAATACGTATTTTTTCTGTCTTCCCCCTGCAGAGTTGTGAGCGGCTCTCGAGATGCCACTCTTAGGGTTTGGGATATTGAGACAGGCCAGTGTTTACATGTTCTGATGGGTCATGTGGCCGCAGTCCGTTGCGTTCAGTATGATGGCAGAAGGGTTGTTAGTGGAGCGTATGATTTTATGGTGAAGGTGTGGGATCCAGAGACTGAGACCTGTCTACACACGTTGCAGGGGCATACTAATAGAGTCTATTCATTACAGGTAAGAGATCCTATCTCTCCCATCCCTTAGATGCTCTACTGGTGAATCATAAGAATATTTGTCTTAGAACATGAGACTCTTAGTTTGCTAAATTAATTAGTGGTTGGCTAGTCTCAGAGGAGAATAACCTAGATTTTAATAAACTCTTTAGCAGAGCATTAATTTGGCCAAAAGCTGCCCCTTATCCTTGAGCCGAAAGCTGACGGAGCATGTAATTGGGCTTCCATCCCTGGCCGGAGTGCATAAAGCTGCTCACTGTCCAGGGCCGTTGACTCGGAGGCACGAAGACGCATATTTGACCAAACTGATGTTTTTGTTTCCATTTGAAACTGGTATCCTCGAATAGATTGCCATATTTCAAGATAATTGAACTAGATCATAATTAATAGCAAGTTTGGATGATGGGTCTTGTTTTTTTCTTGAAGGGTAGCACTTTTGATGTAAAAGTATTTCTTATTGTTTATAGTTTATCATTTGTTACCTCTTTTTTTTTTTTTTTTTTTTTTTTTTACATTTGTTACCTCTTAATGTTTGGAAAATTAATACCTAATCCTGGTGCTAAAAATTTTGTTCTAGGGATTTGTTTCTTAGTTGATAGGATACTCTTTGTGTTGTGAAGTACTGATATATTTTGAATTGTCTATAAAATTAGAAAAGATGTTGAATCTGGAGGAGAGGCAATTTGCTGCAACTGTTTTTTGTTTTGTGATATGCTTAGAACTTAATAAAAATATCATCTCATTTAAATAAACCATTGAATTAAGGAAAGAGCCACATTTTTATACTGGGTCGTGGAAAAGTCATGACACATTTTTGCATAGAAAAACAGAAACGACACCACATTTCCAACTACCCAATATATCTTCTAGGAATGGATTGTATTAATTAGCTTTTGAAATAGCTAGAGAAGAGGGGTCTATAGGAGGGATCCTCAAAAAATTCACGAATGAGATGTATTGTTGGAAAAAACTGCATGTATTTCTAATTTTTTTTCTTTTTGGACCAAAATAAACTTGTATTTTAATTGCACTTTGCTTTGAACTTTTTAAAGTCCTCTTGCATGGCTTGGTTATGTTATCAAATGCCACTACTCCTAATTCCAGATATAATGATATTTTGGTCCATTTCCTAATTAGCAGAAGGGTCTTACAAATGGAACTTTTATCTTACATTCAGTTTTTAATGAAACTTGCTTTTGAACATTATGAAAGTCATCGCCTAGCCCATTTCATCCCTCAGGTGCTAATGATAATAAGCACACCCTTTATCACAAGCCATGCCATTAGTTTCAGCTTCCACCCAGGAAGTAACACTCAAAAGAAGATCTTTGCTGATTCCTCCATGGTATATAGCTACTGAGTGGGTCCAGGTGATCTGAAATAATAATGTTCTCTATTTTAGATGGTTTTTGTTTTCTTTTTAAGTTGTTTCTGCGTCCACTTTGAAGTCACCAGACATTAAAAAAATGAACACTTCTGATACATGTGTCTGAGAGCGTCAGTGTAGACTTGCTCGATGACACGCAGCTTACCCTAGTCCTCGTCTGGCTCTGCATTACCTGCTGCCCATGCTCACCCTCCTCTGTCAGGGCTAAGTCAGTAATTGCTATCAGGGTGCCATGCTTCTGACATCCTGTGTCTGTTGTAGTTCGATGGCATCCATGTGGTGAGTGGCTCTCTCGATACATCGATCCGAGTTTGGGATGTGGAGACAGGAAATTGCATTCACACGTTAACAGGGCACCAGTCGTTAACAAGTGGAATGGAACTCAAAGACAATATCCTTGTCTCTGGGAACGCAGATTCTACAGTTAAAATCTGGGATATCAAAACAGGACAGTGTTTACAAACATTGCAAGGTGAGTATTGGCACCCCACCATAAGTTGTGTTCATTAAGAATGAGCTTGTGACTCCGGAGGAAAATACAGAGTTTCAGTGTCACGGGAAGAACTAACCTCCCATGAGATGCTTATTTCAGATGTGTGAGTGTTTTCACTCTGACTTACAAAACTAGCCTGTCCCTGAGAAAATGTATTCAATTGTGTTTTCTAATCTAAAATTGTTTAGTCACTTCCTGAGTGTTCAGTCGACTCTGCCTAACCTTAAAGAACAGTGAGAAGAAAAACTGGCCATATCTCAGAAACAGCATGCATGTTTTATTTTTTGAGTAATCATTTTTCTTTGAATTTGTAGTTTAATTTTTTTTTTAATGCCAGAAGGCATGTGTACATGCATGAGAGAGACAGAGAGAGAGAGCCTGGTCATGGCAAAATCCTTTTTCAGGTCTTCATCCTATAAAGATTCTGAGCGCATGGCTTACCTGGTGTGATGTTCAAGCCGTGGAGCTGGAACCCGGGTCAGCCCTGTGGGATCTCGCTTCCTCTATGTGGTGCTTAACTGCCGTGCCAGGGGGCATTCCCTCTAGTCCAGTTTTAAAGGGCCTCCTTATTGGAAAACAACAACTACAACAAAGCATTGCTGATAGAAAACGACTTTGGCCTCCACTTAGCCAGCTGCTTACCTGGGATAGAAAGAATGATGGTGCCCACTACAATAGAAAAAACCATGAGAACCGTTAGTATTAGGTGAGGCAAGTGTTAACCTCCTCGTTTTTGTCATGTCCATAGCCCTCAAAGTGTTTTTTCAACCAGGCCATCTGGTAGCCTTTTCCACTTGGGTTTTGTCTCCTCGTCTGTGTAGGGATAGTGTCCAGTCACCTTTCTGCTTTGACTGGGCAGTCTCGAATGGTGGGTGAGACCTCTCAAGCTCCTCTATCAGCAGAGACTCAAAGCTAGACTGTCTGCCTCATCGCCAAGCAAAGCTCTCGTTCGTGGAGCCAGAAAATAAAATGTATGCCTGATAGTTAACCAAGCCTCCTGGAAGAGAGAACTCTTGAAAGTTAATGTCTCGGTTACATATAGCTCCCAGATTTTCTTATATCCCTGCTTTTCCTAAAATACCCAGAACAAGGTTTCTAAATAGACAGCATTTGGAATGTTGCATGTCCCCCCTGTTCTAATGCAGAGCTCCACAGATCACAACAGAACTAACCCACAGCCAGGACTCCTCCCAGTAATTCAATCTTTGTGGTTTTGCCTAGGACCCAACAAGCATCAGAGTGCCGTGACCTGTTTACAGTTCAACAAGAACTTTGTCATTACCAGCTCAGACGATGGAACTGTCAAACTATGGGACTTGAAAACGGGTGAATTTATTCGAAACCTAGTCACATTGGAGAGCGGGGGGAGCGGGGGTGTGGTGTGGAGGATCAGAGCCTCGAACACGAAGCTGGTGTGTGCCGTCGGGAGTCGGAACGGGACTGAAGAAACCAAGCTGCTGGTGCTGGACTTCGATGTGGACATGAAGTGAAGAGCAGGGGTGATGAATTTGTCCAAATGTGTAGACGATGTACTCCCTGCCCTTCCCCCTGCAAAAACAAAAACAAAAAAACAACAACAAAAACAAACAAACAAAAAAACAAAAAAAAAAAGAAAAAAGAAAAGGTAAAAAAAGAAAAGAAAAAGAAAAAAATCCCTTGTTCTCAGTGGTGCAGGATGTTGGCTTGGGGCAACAGATCGAAAAGACCTACAGACTAAGACGGGAAAGAGGAAGAGATGACAAACCGTAACTGACACGAGAGGCGTCTGCTGTCTCATCACATACAAGGCTTCACTTTTGACTGAGGGCAGCTTTGCAAAATGAGACTTTCCAAATCAAACCAGGTGCAATTATTTCTTTATTTCTCCTCCAGTGGTCATCGGGCAGTGTTGACGTTACAGATCCTGCTGGCCTGTTCTTTACCACTGGCACCTAGAAAGGAACTGCAATAACAGCAAAACAAGTACCGGTTGACTTTCTAACTACAGAGCATCTGCAACAAAAAGGCATTTTTCTGGAGTGGAAAAGCTACAAAAAAAAAAAAAAAAAAAAAAAAATTTACTGTGAATTGTTTTTTTTTAAGTTCTTAAAGAAAAGCTTTTTTTTTTCTTTTTCTTTTTTTCTTTTTTTTTTTTTTTTTTGCCAACCATTGCCAATGTCAATCAATCACAGTATTAGCCTCTGTGAATCTATTTGCTGTTGCTTCCATATACACTCTTCGATGCATATGTTGCTCAAAGGTGGCGAGTTGCCCTGGGTTCTGTGAGTCCTGAGATGGATTGAATTCTTGATGCTGGTGCTAGAAGTAGGTCTTCGAATATGGGATTGCCGTCCCACCCCTGTACTGTACTCCCAGTGGCCAAACTTATTTATGCTGCTAAATGAAAGAAAGAAAAAAAAGCAAATTATTTTTTTTTATTTTTTTTCTGCTGTGACGTTTTAGTCCCAGACTGAATTCCAAATTTGCTCTAGTTTGGTTACGGAAAAAAAAAAAAAAAAAAGACTTTTTGCCACTGAAACTTGAACCATTTGTGCCTCTAAGAGGCTGAGAATGGGAGAGTTTCAGATAATAAAGAGTGAAGTTTGCCTGCAAGTAAAGAATTGAGAGTGTGTGCAAAGCTTATTTTCTTTTGGATGGGCAAAAAAAAAAAAAAAAAAAAAAAAAAAACACATTCCTTGGAACAGAGCTGTTAACGCCTGTTCTGCGGAGAAACTTTACTTTTTGAGGGCTGTGGTGAATGGATGAACGTACATTATAAAACTGACAGAATATTTTAAAGATATACAAAACGCAAAATTTAAATAAAAGTTGCTGGTCAGTCTTAGTGTTTTACAGTATTTGGGAAAACAACTGTTACAGTTTTATTGCTCTGAGTAACTGACAAGGCAGAAACGATTGAGTTTTCGTGTAAAGGCGTCACATGCGAACAGACGAAATGAATGAAAAAGTCGATGGTTTGCCTCATTCTCCAAGAGCCACAAGTCAAGCTGAACTGTGAAAGTGGTTTAACACTGTATCCTAGGCTATCGTTTTTTTCCTCCTCCTGTTTATTTTGTTTTGTTTTGTTTTATTTATAGTCTGATTTAAAACAATCAGATTCAAGTCAGTTAATTTTAGTTATGTAACAACCTGACATGATGGAGGAAAACAACCTTTAAAGGGATTGTGTCTATGGTTTGATTCACTTAGAAATTTTATTTTCTTATAACTTAAGTGCAATAAAATGTGTTTTTTCATGTTAGTATGCCTGTTTCTTCCACCGAAGTCCTAACACTTCGCTCTCGGGGTGTCGGGCTTTCTATTCCCTGGAGTGTGACGTAGGAGTTCATACTTCCCTACCTGTGTGTGACTAAAGGAAAAACAGCATGCCTCTGCAGGCGTTACTCACCTCGGACTGGCAGGGAGGGCGCTGCGCTGTCCTTGTTTCTGTGTGCTGCCTTGGTGTGTACACGTGAGAAATCGGGTCCCCTCAGAGAGCTGCAAGCTTCTGTGCCTATTGCAACCCAAAGTCCTAGAAACAATAGGTTCTTTTTAAAATGTCAACCACATATTTTGTGTTTATCAGGTGCACTCTGCATTCTCACGCAAGCTCCCACCATCCCTGAGAAGTAGATGCTATTATCTCCAAAAAAACTGCTGCCCAGACCAGTTAGGTAACTTGTCAAATCAGGTTACGAGCAAAACTCCAAAGCCATGTTTCCAAGAAGCGTACAACTAGACTTTAAGAAGGTGTGGATAAATGGAATTGAAGTACGAGTGTGTGTGTTCATAGTGTGTGTATATACACATCACGTTATCTGTAAACTTTTTGAAGACCCCCCCCCATGTGAGCTGATTTTTAATAATTTGACAGACTGTGTAGCTCTGAGTATATTTATTGGGCTGTCAGAAAAATGATGTGGCTTTTTCTATGCAAAATTGCATCATGACTTTCCCGACAACCCAGTAGAATAGAATGATAATGTATATTTATTCATAGGGTACCAAACCCTGGGCTCACTTCCCCAAAGCTACCAAATAACATCTGGAAGTGGGACCCAAGAACCTGCATTTAGACTAACTTAGCGGGTGAGCTGTGGACACTGCCTTAGACACCATGCCAGTATGTCTGGTTATTTGGTTTATTAGTCCACGGCAAGTGATAGGCCCGAGGACAGCAGGGAAAAATGACGGGGAAGGCAGGCCCAGAATCCCACAGTTAATGGCAGGCAGCAATGGGCCGTGAGGTGCAGGGCGAGCAGCCCGCCTGCTTTGGGGTCAGCCAGAGCAGAGCCCAGAGCCATCTCCTTTACTAGGGTAACCGACTACCTACTCTAAACTCTAGAAAGTTGTATTGGGTTGTTGAGAAAAATCATGATATATTTTTCAATGTTTTTCTATGCAAAAATGCATCGTGACTTTCCTGACAAGTTAATCATTCTATTGAGGATTTCTTGAAACTGTTTGATTTGTCATAATACTATATCAATGAAGCCCAATTATAATTTTAAAAGAAATCAACTTTTTGAAAGAACATTCATAGAACAGTGAGTTCACAGATTTTGCAGACAGGCCAGATTTTACATCCCATTTCTAATGTCATCTAGTTCCTGGGACCTTCCTCAGGTACCTTGACCTTCAGTATCCTCATCTTCCAAGATGTAGCAGATGCCCACCTGCTAAGATCCTTATATGGACCAAATGAGAGGTTGCAAAGCACGTGGCATGCTGACAGCACTTAGAACTCAGCACGCGGTAGCTGCTCTGACACTGTAAAGAAGATAGACCCAGATAATGGTAACTTCTAAATTTGAAAACACTTATGACACTTCATGACTCATGTAATAAAAATAGCATGCATATATATATATATATATATATATATATAGCAATTTACATTCTTTTAAGTGGCGGCACAGAGATTCTCATTTGAGTCTTGGGAGATAGACCGATGTCAAGCACTCAACAGTCATTTTGTGTGTACGTAGGCATTCATTAAATATGAGAGGGTGTCTGGTAAGGTTCATGGAAAATGTGGTTTCTGAGAAGACTGCATGGATTGCAAAATAATTTGGGCACCCAAATAAACTCAGACATTTTCCATGAACTTTTTGAAGTTCTATTATTTTTGTGAATACATAATTAATCTTTATTGTGATGGGTCTTTTCCAAGGGAAAAATGTTAGCCTCATTCTAAAGGAAAGTATTGTATTTATAGTTTCAGAAGTGTCACTAGGGCATGGCCTCCTTAATGAAGAAATTTGCCACTTATGTTGCTACACAAATTTTAATCTGGTTTGTTTTGTTTTGTTTTGTTTTGTTTTGTTTTAAGAGAATGTTGCTATTGGGTGCTTGCTTGCACTCACCAAAGAGAAACAGAGACAGAAAGTAAGAAATCATCCCCACACAGGGGATGGTCATGCTGCAACCCCTTTTCCATTCTCCTCTCAGGATTTTGGGCATGCACGCACATGTACCCGGTGCAAGTTTTAAGCCACCAAGTCCAGGATTTGAACCACGGTTGACTACGTGGGAGTCCAGTGATGTAGCCATTATGCCATCTGCTGGTCCCCAATTTTCAATGTTCTTAACAATATAGGCAGTCTCCATATTTAGATGTTTCAGATTCCCAAAGATGAAACATTGCCTGAAGTTAAAGCTAGCCTTAGGACACAAAGGTAACCCATAAAATCCCGTAGCATGTGCTCTATAAATACTTGCTGAATTGAGCAAAGAGTTGACTCACTCATTATTTTTATTGGTACTGTTTGTAATCTTGACACTTGGAACCACTTTCCTGAGATTCACTTAGCCACAGCCATTTCATTCAGTTGCAACAGCTAGCACCTCCCAAATGGTTAAGTAAATGTTTCAGCCTACCTGTTTAATTGTAGAAAGGTAATTGATGTTTCGTTATTTGTATGAACCATGTGTAAGCCCTTTTCCCTAACCTCTTTGAGGGAGTCTGTTATCAGATCTTCCTATGTCTCTGCATTGATTAGAGACTGCAGTCAAACAAACAAAAAGACCTCTGCTTTTCCGTCCCCTGAAGTGATGGGGGATCAATAGTAGCTTCTCTCGGCCCAGCTGTGTCCTGCTGTTCTGTACACACTCGTTGCACTTTGTGAAACAAAGATACAGGGCTGGAAGAGAGGAGCCACCTGGAGACGCCTGTCCTCCTCCACCCTCTCCCCTGCAACTTCTGTGTTGAAACCAGAAATACACAGCTCTGTCACTTTGCATGGCAGGAATAGATTCACATTACATTTTGTTCCCGATTCATTCCCTCGGGGAAAAGGCAACTTTTAGAAGGCTTTCTTCTCAATCAACAGCTCTTCTCAGATACAGCTTTATCCTTTTTTTTAGTCATCCCCAACCCCCAATCAAAATCAGGGTTGTAAACTGGACTCCCTGAGGTTCTTCAGCCAATACAGAATCCAACCTTGTCGAACCTTAAAACAGTTGTAGCAGAATCTCTCTTTTTCATTTTTAGTTTTTGCTACAGGGCAATGGGCTCACCAAAGAGAGAGGGAACATGAGAAAGCATCCCCCAGGAGGGATGGCCACACCACAATCCTTTCTCCATTCTCTTCTCTGGATTTTGGGCACTCATGCATGTATGCCCAGCGATTCCCCAAGCTACCAGATCCAGGACTTGAACCACACAGTTGGCCAAGGGTGCTCCAGCTGCCTTCACCTCTATGCCTAAGAACTGGCCTAAGAACCTCTAATTTTGCAGAGTCATTTCTGATCTACTAATGGGAAAAGTAGCAAGTGTTATTGACAAAGGACTAAGTACATCCATCTGACAGGTGGTTCTAAGTGTCCCCTGCCTTTGTCTTGAAGGTAGATTGTGGATGTGTATGCGTGCACACTCACACACACATTTGTAAGGCTATATTGGAAACTGGGAATAAGCCTCTTTTTTTTTGGTGACTCATGCTAATGCC